TGAATCCCTTGAGTATAGTGGGTGTAAGATTGCACTTAAGAGAGAAATCAGGAGGGCAAAAAGGGGACATGAGATAGCTTTGGCAAATGAGGTAAAGGAGAATCCAAAGAGATGCTACAAGTATATTAAGGGCAAAAGAGAACAAGGGAGAGAATAGGGTCCCTTAAAGATCAAAAAGCCCATCTATGTGTGGAGCCACAGGAGATGGGTGAGATCCTAAATAAATATTTTGACTCAGTATTTACCATGGGGAAAGGCCCGGAAACTGGGGAACTCAGAGGAAATAAATAGTGATGTCTTGAGGAGTCTACATTACAGAAGAGGAGGTGCTGGAGGTCTTAAAACGCAAAAAGGTAGATAAATCCCAGGACCTGATCAAGTATATCCCAGGACATTGTGGGAAGCTAGGGAGGAAATTGTGGGGACCTTAGTGGAGGTATTTCTATCATCGACAGCCACGAGTGAGGTGCTGGAAAACTAGAGGATAGCTGTTGTGCCATTATTTAAGAAAGACTGCAAGGAAAAGCCAGGGAACTATAGACTGATGAGCCAACGTCAGTGGTAGGTAAGTTGTTGGAGTGTATTCTGAGAGACAGGGTTTGTATGTGTTTGGAAAGGCAAGGACTGATTAGGGATAGCCAGCATGGGTTTGTGTGTGGGAAAATGTGTCTCAAATTTGATTGCGTTTTTTGAAGAGGTAACCAAGAAGACAGATGTAGGCAGAGTGGTAGACATTGACTACAGGGACTTCAGCAAGGCAAAAACCTTTGACAAGGTTCCTCATGGTAAACTGGTTAGTAAGGTTAGATCACATGGGATCCAGGGAGATCTAGCCAATCGGATACAAAATTGGCTTGACGATAGGAGACAGCGGGTGGTGGTAGAGGGTTGTTGTTCAGACTGGAGACCTGTGACCAGTGGTGCCGCAAGGATCAGTGTTGGGTCAATTGTTGTTCGTCATTTATGTAAATGATTTGGGTGAGATTGGATGAGAATGCAGGAGGCATGGTTGTAAATTTGCGGATGACACCAAAATTGATGGTATATTGGTCAGTGAAGAAGGTTATCTAAGGGTACCACGGGATCTTGATCAACTGGCCAGTGGGCCGAGGAACAGCATGGTAGCTCGGTGGTTAGTGCTGCTGCTTCATGGTGCCAGGGACCCAGATTCAATTCCAGTCTTCGGCGACTGTCTGCGTGGAGTTTGCATTTTTTCCCCATGTCTGCGTGGGATTCCTCCTGGTGCTCTGGTTTCCTCCAACTGTCCAAAAATGTGCTGGTTCGGTGGATTGGCCATGCTAAATTGCCCGTAGTGCCCAAGATGTGCAAGTTAAGTGAATTAGGGATGATGTGGGACTGGGTGAGATACTTTTTGGAGGGTCGAGTTGGACTTGATGGGCCGAATGGCCTGCTTCCACACTGTGGGGAGTTCTATTATTCTGTGAATGGCAGATGGAATTTAATGTAGATAAATGCGAGGTATTGGATTTTGGTAAAACAACCAGGGCAGGACTTACACAGTTAATGGTAGAGTGCCATCACGGGTAGACAGGGTGGTGAAGAAGGCATTTGGCACACTTGCCTTCATCGGTCAGAGCACTGAGTACAGTAGTTGGGATGTCATGTTATCGCTGTACAAGACGTTTGTAAGGCCACATTTGGAGTACTGTGTACAGTTCAAATTGCCCTGTTAAAGGATGTTATTAAACTGGAAAAGGGTGCAAAAAAGATTTACAAGGATGTTATTGAGACTGAATGGTTTGAGTTATAAGGAGAGGCTGGATAGCCTGGGACATTTTTACCTGGAGCGTGGGAGGCTTCCGTAGGGTGACCTTATAGAGGTTTATAAAATCCATGAGGGTCATAGATAAGGTGAATTGCCAAGGTCTTTTCCTCATGGTAGGAGAATTCAAAACTAGAGGGCATAGGTTTAAGGTGAGAGTGGACAAAGGGTGATGCATAAATGGAACGAACTGCCAGAAGAAGTGGTAGAGGCGGGTACAATTACAACATTTAAAAGAAATTTGGACAAGCACACGATGCTGTGACTTTAAGAGGTTATTTTGTCCTTTTTTTTGAGAAGTTTTAAGGCAGAGGTGCCAACCAGTCTACAGAGTGGTTAGCACTGGTGCCTCACAGCGCCAGGGACCCAAGTTCAATTCCACCCTCGGGCGACTGTCTGCATGGAGTTTGCACATTCTCCCTATGTCTGCGTGGGTTTCCTCCGGGTGCTCCAGTTTCCTCCCACAGTCCAAAGATCTGCAGGCGAGGTGGATTGGCCATGCTAAATTGCCCGTAGTGTATGGGGGTGCGTAGATTAGGTGTGTTATAGGGGGATAGGTCTGGGTGGGATGCTCTGAGGGTCGGTGTGGACTTGTTGGGCTGAAGGGCCTGTTTCCACACTGTAGGGATTCTCTGATCTATGAAGACCCACTGGGGTAAACAGTTTGTGAGGCCTTGGGGGTTTTTTAAAAGTTGGAACCATAGAAGCTGCCTGGATGGGTTCTCTCACAGGCCAGGATTTATAGTTTAGTGTTTTAGCTTTAAACAGTTGCTGTTGTGGACTTGAAGAATTGGAAGCTATTTTCTCTCTCTTGATTAAAGCAAAAGCTGGGAGTTCTCTTCCTGGGTTGCCAGATTGCTTGTGAGACAAAATCTGTTTTCCTGAATTTGCCTTTTTGCCAAGGGATGTGTTTATGGGATGTTACTGAATTGGAACGGTTAATTTGTAATAGATACTGTATCTATTATTCGGTTGAGTTTTTCAATACAGTTACTCTAATCCTTCCTTCTTTCATTGTGTTTTAACTATAGTGTTTAAATAAATTGTGTTTTGCTTAACATCAAGTAGTTTGACCAGTCACATTGTTTCTGGAGCATGTCACTTTATATTTGCCTTAAAAATAAGAAAAAGTTCAGGTCTAGGCTACCTTCTTAAAATATTTGAGGGAATCTGGTCTGGTCTATATCATATAGATAGGAAAGGTTCAGAGGGCTATGGGCCAAAAGCAGGAAAATGGGACTGGTCTCAGTTTAGGAAACCTGGACAACATGGATGAGTTGGGCTGAAGGGCCTGTTTTGTGCTGTTATTCTCTGTGACTGTTCAACTCTATGGGTGTTGTGTTGCACATTGTCAAGGTGCACAAACAAGTTCATATGTGTATCACTACGTTATTGCAGAATTGTTTAGAAACAGTATTGGAGTTGATCCATGTTTACACTGCTCATGGTTTTCTTTTTACTCTCAATCAATTTTCTGTTTTGTTTGTAGAAAATCTCCTTTTCTCTGATACCAGCTGAAGATGACCATATAACTGGCCAAGACAGAGCAGCTCATGGCCTTGTGACAATGGCCTGCTCAGATGAAACGAAACTTGAGTTGGTTGGTCGACTGCTGAGTGAACCAGGAAGGTTTGCATATGGCGGCCTGTGTGGAGTTACGCTGTCATTGTTGTTTTTAGAAGAGGAACACAGGTTGGTACTCCAGTGTAGAACACCAAGTATCAGGAGTTGGTACTGGATGTTTAGTTTGGTATCCACCTTACACACTTGCAGCAGGGATCGCTGAATAGTAAACTGAAAAAGGAAGCAGGCTGCTTTTTTTTTCTTTGCCCTCTCCTTAATTCTGGGGCACTGAGATCCTTGTTGTGATTTTATCACTATCCTAGATGAAAGTGGACAACTTAGTACTAGCCAGGGATGGAAACTGAGACTAGACCATATTGGGCAGTAGCAGATGTTGATCACATCAGGATCATTTTCAAACTGGTTTCCAATTTGAGCATTATGTAGCTTTCAACCATCTGCTTTTAAGTAGCCAAAACATTTGGAAAAACTCTGAGGAAGTTGTTCAAGAACTGATCGATACATATGTCTGTATGTATCTGTATATGTGTTTGTATGTATTGAGTGTCAGCTTTTCAACCCAGCTGTTAGAATCTAACATGTAAAAGTTGCTTTACTTGTTGGCCTTGAGGCCACTAGCATTAACTAAGCAGGTCCTTTAGAATGCAAGACTAGAGTTAGATACTAAGAACTGACACTAATTCATCAATGTTATTTACTTCCATTGGTTGTTAGCTAAATTTGAGGCAGGAAAAATTAAACTGAGATCTAGATTGTGGATGGGTTTATTGACAATTTATCTCCCAAAGAAGTTTCATATAATATCAAGCCTCAAAAATGCAGTTTCTAAAAATCTTGTACTACCTTGAAAGGACACTCTCTGAATTATATCTTGTTGTTGCCTTATGTGAAGCTTATTTTCTTAACGCTGGTTGCAGCTGATTTTTTAAAACAAAGTAGATATTTCCTGATATGAAAGTATTAATGGCTTTACTTGATCACTCTATGCTACTAAAATTGTGAAATTGCCGTGGTTTGTAGCTAAGTGAAATTAAAATGATTTGTTTTACTTAAATTGATAATACCGAGATATGCTTTTAGAGCTACAGACAATTCCAAAATGGAATTAAATGCAGCTAATCAGTTACAAAATACACAATGTTTGTAGGTCTGTGCCCACATAAGATAATTCTATTGCTTTTGGAACTCTCATTTTCCTGTAACCTCTAAGCTCTGATTAATTGTGCTTTTATGTGCTGTAATAAATGCGATGCAATGTCTGCGTACCTTGCAACTTAGATTATGACAAACTCATGTCCTACAGAACTATTGTTCTAACCCTCATTATCATGAGCCAAAAGTCTAAATTCATGACTGTTTTCACAGAATCGTAGAATTGTTACAGAACAGAAAGGGGCACTTCAGCCTATTATCTGCAGAACAGTTCAGCTAGTGTTACTCTACTGCTTTTTCCCGATAGCTCGCAATTATTTTACTCTTCAGATAATGAGCTGTCAGTGCTCATGTGTACACATAGGTGGGTACATCTGTGTGACTGCATATGCTCATATTTATAGGTCTGTAAAGTGTTCATGCATATATGCATTGGTCACTTTTATTTACAAAATTTATTAAAGAAAGGTCACTAACTGTATTTCTTGGTTTTGTAGGCAGTTCAGAATGAAATTTATTAAAGGACTTGTACAATGGCTGCAGCTCTCAGAATCTGTCTTGCCAGTCATGGAGGTTTTTGCCAATGGAATGGGAGGGGAAGGAACAGACACGTTTGCAGACCTGCTACTAAAAGAACAGGTTTTGGAGGGCAGTCCAATCCTCATCACTCAGGTACATATTCTATATGGCATCCTGCTGTGCTGTTCTGTCTGCTGTGCCCTATTGGATTGTTCACTTTTTTCTTGAGGTTCCATTGGTGCTGCATATGTTTGTTTGAGAATTTCTGTGAAATGTTTTCTTTTACTTTGGAAGAACTCATATTCAATCTAATTTTTGCTCTTCTGTCTTAGGACCTTGTCTCCTTTTCAGTGAAAGATGGTGAGTTCTGGATCCTGTAACGGTAAAAATAGAAAATCCTGGAAATATGTTATTTTGTAATATCCCTCCCACTTCTACCTATCAAATTACTGAACCAGAAACCTTCCCAAATAGTTTCCCTCCTGAGACCTGTCTTTCATGCTTGACAATTGGTGTGAGGAGAATCGTTTGGATTTGAAAGTTTAGCTGTTCACAGATACTGTCAGAACTGTTGAGTTTCTCCAATACTTTCTGTTTTTATTTAATATTCCAAGACTATAAAGGCAGTAGGAGTATACTTAAGAGGGAAATCAGGAGGGCAAAAAGGGAACAAATAGGGTTAAGGCAAATCCAAAGGGATTCTACAAATACATTAAGGACAAAAGGGTAACTAGGGAGAGAATAGGGCCCCTTAAAGATCAGCAAGGTAGCCTATGTGTGGAACCGCAGGAAATGGGGGAGGTACTAAACGAATATTTTGTATTAGTGTTTACTATGGAGAAGGATATAGAAGATATAGAACGTGGGGAAAGAAATAACGACATCTTGAAAAATGTCCATATTACAGAGGACATGGTGCTGGATGGCTTAAAATGCATAAAGGTGGATAAATCCCTGGGACCTGATAAGGTGTCCACTAGAACTCTGTGGGAAGCTAGGAAAGTGATTGCTGTGCCCCTTGCTGAGATGGCCACAGGTGAGGTACCAGAAGACTGGAGATTGGTTTATGTGGTGCCACTATTTAAGAAAGGTGGTAAGGAAAAGCTAGGGAACTATAGAGTGGTGAGCCTGACGGTGATGGGCACGTTGTTGAAGGGAATCCTGAGGGACAGCATTTACATGTATTTAGAAAGGCATGGACTGAATAGGGATAGTCAACATGGTTTTGTGCGTGGGAAATCGTGTCTCACTAACTTGAGTTTTTTGGAGAAGTAACGAAGAGGATTGATGAGGGCAGAGCAGTGGACATGATCTATGTGTACTTCAGTAAGGTGTTCAACAAGGTTCCTCATGGTCGACTGGTTAGCAAAGTTAAATTGCATGGAATACAGGGAGAACTAACTATTTGGATACAGAACTGGCTAAAAGGTAGAAGACAGAGGCTGGTGGTAGAGGATTGCTTTTCAGACTGGAGGCCTGTGACCAGCGGTGTGCCACAAGGATCGGGACTGGGTCCACTGTTTTTTGTCATTTAAATAAATGATTTGGATGTGAACATAGGAGATGTGGTTAGTAAATTTGCAGATGACACCAAAATTGGAGGTGTAGTGGACAGCGAAGAAGGTTACCTCAGAGTACTACGGGATCTTGATCACATGGGCCAATGGGCCGAGGAGTGGCAGATGGCGTTTAATTTAGATAAGTGTGGGGTGTTGCATGTTGGGAAGGCGAATCAGGGCAGGACTTATACACTCACACTTATACATGCCACATCCTTTCTTTGTTTTGCTTGCACTTTGTCTTTCCCTCACTTACTCATGCTGTTATGTCATAGAGTCATACAGCACAGAAACAGACATTTTGGCTCAACTCATCCGTGCTGACCAGGTTTCCTAAACTGAACTAGTCCCATTTGCCTGCATTTAGCCTATATCCCTCTAAACCTTTCCTATCCTTTTCTACTTGTCCAAATGTCTTTTAAATGTTGTAACTGTACCCACCTCTACCATTTCCACTGGCAGCTCATTCCATATATGCACCAACCTCTGTGTGAAAACGTTGTCCATCAGGTCCCTTTTAAATGTTTTCGCTTTCATCTTAAACCTGTGCCCTCTAGTTTTGGACTCCCCTACCCTGGAAAAAAGACCTTGGCTATTCACTTTATCCATGCCCCTCATGATTTTATACACCTCTCTAAGGTCACTCCTCAGCTTCCTATGTTCTGGGGAGAAAAGTCCCAGCCTCTCCTTATAACTCAAACCTTCCATTCTCGGTAACATCCTTGTAAATCTTTTTTGTCCCCCTTCAAGTTTAATAACATCCTTCCTATAGCAGCATGACCAGAATTTGTTTGTTTGGTGCATGTCATTGCCAAGTGTGCAGGATTGAGTAGTGTATAATCGCCAATCATTTTTGGAATAATCTGAAGGTCCATATTACTTAAATTGGAGCAAAATAATTACGACAATGACAAATCATTCCCGGAAATTGAAATTACATTTCAGATCAGTGAAGAATTTAAAGATGTGGATCTACAGTGGGGGGAATGAGCGGATTTATCAAAACGAAAAAACCTAGTATTATAGCATTAAAAATTGCAATTGATTCACTTATTATAGATTCATAAAATGCTGAATATTCAGATAATTATGTGAAGTTAAATTGTGTCTGAGATATTGAACTTCTTTCTGTATGTTATGGAGTTGATTGTTATTCTGCCACTTTTGCAAAACATTGAGTCAAGTCATCATTACTCATAGAGGTGCTTCCTAACCCTGGCTTTACATTAATAGCAGCTGCTGTGTGCCTTGCTTTGAATGATTTCCCAATGCAGAAAATTCCAAAGGTAGAAGTGTGGTTTGTAAATGAATAATCTGATCACAGGGAAGATTCAAAGTGATTGTGTTGATAAATGGATTGAGAAAGTCCCCAATTTGGGAGGAGTTGTATAAAGTTCAGGATTCCAAGATAAAGAGTTTGACAATGAGACAATGATTTAACTGATTCTGCAACATCACAAATTTTGATTTGTTGGTATTTGGTGGATAGTTCTCCAGCTGTGACATTGAACAGAAAGTAACATTGCGGAGAGAAGGAAACATTGGGAATTCTGTAAATGTGAAAAACAAAAAAATAGAAAGGCGCAGAACATCTGCACAAGAAAGATGCTCCAAAGGATCAAGTCCCAGCCTATACAGATTCTCCCTATGACTCAAACCTTTCAGTTTTGGTAACATCCTTAAATCTTTTTTGCACCTTTTCCAGTTCAATAACATCCTTCCTATCGCAGGGCGATCAGAATTATATGCAGTACTCCAAATGTGGCCTTACCAACGTCTTGTACAGCTGTAACATGACGTCCCCCAATTCCTGTACATGATGCTCTGATTGATGAAGGCAGGCATGCCAAATGCTTTCTTCACCACCCTGTCTACATGTGATGCCACTTTCAAGGAAATCTGTATCTACACCCCTAAGTTTCCCTGTTTGGACATTCAGGAGGGGAGAGAAGTAACTATGAATTGGACACTTGTGCATCCAAGATGCTTGGCATCTGTGTAGCTATAAGTTACCAAAGGCCTTAAGGATAAGAAGAAGATGGGACAAGATTGCTATGAAGGGAAAATAGAGGGAAAACAAGGCCCAGGGCCTTTTCTGTTCAGTTTTGTTACAACTTTCTATTTTGATACAAATGTTCTTCACTGGCTTCCCACACCAAATGTGAGGTAGCCAAATCAACTAAGGAAACCAATGACATTCTGTTCTTTTTAATAGGTTTCTCGACTGATACTGTGACAATGCCTCCTATACTGACACATGGGCCACATTTTAGAGTGTCTGAGCAGTACCATTTGCTATTCTGTAGGAAAGAGGATCATCACTTTCCAGTCTTGCCCCGCCATAGGTGTAATGCTGGAGGACAGTGGCCAACGTACATTTGTAAAAAATGAAGAAAGATTGAGTAATATTGTCCCAGTTAATACCTGGATAGTTAAAATCCCCTACTATTGCCTTACTATTTTTACACTTCTGAAAAATTTGATTACATTTTTGATGCTCTATCTCTCCCTGACTGTTTTTGCATCAACAGTACACACCTAACAGCATGTTCGTAAAAATTTATTCATGGGATGCAGGTATTGCTATCTCAGACAACATTTACTGCCCATTCCTAAGAGTCAACCATATTGTTCTGGATGTGCAGTCACATGTAAGCAAGATCAGGTAAGATGACAGATTTCCTTTCCTAAAGGGCATTGGTGAACCAGACGGGTTTTTACAACAATTGACAGAGGTTACATAGATGCCATTAGACTAGCTTCTTATTTCATCTTTTTTATTGAATTCAGATTTCACCATCTGCCATGGTAGGATTTGAACTCATGTCCCCAGAACATCAGCTTGATGTTCTCAATTACTAGTCTCATGACACTACCATTACACCACCACCTGCCGTTGTGTTTCCTCCTTTTGTGTTTATTACTTCTACCCATATGGCCTTTTTTGATGATCATTCCAACATATCATCCCTCCTCACTGCTATAATTGATTGCTTGATCAATATTGTGACGCCACCCTTCTTCTTCTATCCCCTTTTTTCTTTTGTCTGAATACCCTGTAACCAGGAATGTTGAGCTGCCAATCCTGCTATCTTTCAGTCAATTGATCTGGCTGTGGTCTGCAACTAGTCTTGGCTATGATGTCATACTCTCACATACCTAACAATACCCTCAGCTCGTCTGTCTTATTCCTCAGGCTCCTTGCATTAAGGTTTAATCCATTTAGCCTTGTCAACCCACTCCTTTCTTATCTAGACTATGTTTCCTCTGCATTCCAGTCTCATTGACCCAGTGTTTTAAAAACCAATTCCATCTCATTTTCTTGCCCTTCTGACATACTTGTTGGGATCCCATTCCCTTACTAATCTATTTTAAAACCACCCCAACAGATCAGCAAACCTCACCACGAGGATGTTGGGCCTGTTCCTATTCAGATGTAACCCATACAACTTGTACAGGTTCCTAAAAATGGTCCCAATGCCTTACAAATCTAAAGACCTCTCTCCTGAGCCATAAATCTATCTACTCTATCCTTCTATCCTTATACTCACTGCTGCGTGGCACCAGGAATAATCTGGAGATTACTACCTTTTGAAGTCCTACTTTTCAATTTCCTATCTAACTTCCTAAAGTCTACTTGCAGGACCTCATTTTTCTTTCTTCACATGTCACTGGTCCTAACATAGACCATGACCTCTAGCTGTTCAAGCTCCTCCTTCAGAATACTCTTAGCAAAGATTTATTTCTGTGAGAAAGAAAGGCTCTTCAGAGAGGATACATTAGCCATGGCTAAATAAGTAGGTTAGGCGTAGTAT